TCAGTGTCTTGATGATGTTGTTCAATAAAGCAATCTAAGCTGGCAATATTTTCTCTAGTGTAGGCAGTGTTGTTTCCAATCTGGCAGCATTCAGAAAGTTCTAAAAAGTGAAACAAAATCAAATCAACACTTTTAATGTTATGATAAAGTTGATTCAATCGCAGGATTTTCTATAGGAACTTGGCATAGTGCTCAGCACCTTGCCGGCGTCTTATTAGTTTGACTATAGTGAAGTTAAGAAAGTATTTTCAATTTTTATAATTTTTTAACTGATGCTGTTCATCAAAAGTAACTTGCAGAGAATTCTTCATTTTTACAAATTATAAAATTGTAGAACTTTCTCCTAGCCTTAGCCTTATTCAAAAACATTTGGTTGAAGGCTCTGTACTATTTTTTTGACATGGCCTAATTTTTTGAGTGATTTAAAAATCCAATTTTGATCAATTTCTGCTCAACATTTCTATACAACATAAGAACATGATTCTATATCAGAAAATTTTTCTGATACAAGTACATACCGTATAGCCACAAAGTTTCGAGGCAATAAACTTTCGCGAATCAGGCCACAAGTCTTTTTTCGCCGATTAACTTTCACGGTTCTTATTCTAAAGTACACGTGTTTATGGGCAATACAGATAATTTTATGGAATTAACTTTTGCGGATACGGAAAATCCACGAAAACAGCAAAAGTTGTACCCTCGAAATTAAGCAGCTATATGGTGTGCTTTATCTTACGTTGTGTAAAACTTTTTAGATGATTTTGATCAAAATTAGATATTTTACAAATTTTTAAAGTTGCTCCAAAATCCATGTACTATAGATAAAGCCTGCTACTTTGCTTTTGTGGGAATGTGACTCCAAAAATATGCTTTTTTATTAGTTATTGGCCTTCAGCAAAACTTTGGGTACAGTTAGAATTAAAATGAAAATGAAAAAAATACTTACCTGGAATAGGTTTTGGAGTTATTGTTTGAGACACTATTGAAGATGGCTCACACACAACAATGATAGAAGTAGAAGAGGCTTGTAGTAAAGAAGAAACAATAGAAGAACCAACATCACTGACAGAAGAAGATACACTAATTACTCCAGTGGTAGCAGACACAATGGAAGTTGAAGCAGTCAAACCTCCACTAGCAAAACTGTAAGAACTACTAGAAACTGATGGAGTATGTACAATAATTGTACCAGATAACGACTGTGTAGATGTAACTGGAATATCAGAAGTTACAGTAACAGAGTCTGTGATTGTAGACACAATGGTACTAGAGTCAATTTCTGTGGTCCCAGTTGAAATAACAGAAGCACTAGGAGTAGATCCAGTCACAATTCCACTAGAAACTGATTGCGTAGGAGCAATGATTGAAATTGGGGTATTTGCCTGAGTTAAATCAATCGATGCTGAACTAGTTCCTGTTGGTTCCACAGTCACAGTCCTTGTTATGCATTGTGTTGATCCTAACAAACCTCTGCTAGAAGACTGCTCCATTCTGTTCCTGCTGCAGCAGTGTTCTGTTATACTTCTACATAACCCAACTGAATTTGGAAAGATGCATTCTTTGTTGTCCTCTGATTGTATCCTTCCTATGTAACAGCATTCACAACATGTCAGTGCCTCACTATTACACTCGTTGTCTTGATGATGTTGTTCAATAAAGCAATCTAAGCTGGCAATATTTTCTCTAGTATAGGCAGTGTTGTTTCCAATCTGGCAGCATTCAGAAAGTTCTAAAAATTAAAATAAAATCAAAATGATCAACTGTTCCCTTAATTTCAAGATTACTTAAAGTGCTGTATTTTTGTTGTTATTGCATTTATAATTTTACTTTTACCACAATCTTAGTCAGTTATAATTTGTGATAATTTTCTAATCCTACTTTATCTAGGATTAAACTCTAGTAAAATTAACAGTTTTATAGTCCATTGTCATCGTTAAATCTCTAATTTTGATTGGCAACTTTGAAAATGTAATAAAAATTGAGTCATTTCATAAAAAAGTATGAGCTCTAATATTTTCTAAAAATTTGGTATTTTTTAAAATGACAATAACAAAAATTAAAGCCGGAACTGACTCAAACTTCTACATAGCATAATGACATTAATACACATCAGAAAGTGTAATAAAAATTAGGGGTAATTTTAGAGCCATTTTTGGAAAAAGCATGGGCTACAGTATAGGGTATTTTTCCAAAATTTGGAATTTTAAAAAGATGGCCATAACTCAAAAAATGAAGTCAAACTTTCTACGTAGGATAACAACATCAATATGCATCAGAAAGTATAATAAAAATTAGAGATAATTTTGGAGCCATTTTTGGAAAAAACCATGGGTGTACAGGGTGATTTTCCAAAATTTCAAGTTTTTATAAATGGTCATAACTCGAAAAATTGAAGTCGGAATTGACTCAAACTTTCTACATAGCATATGTAAGTACATCAATATGTATCAGAAAATGTAATAAAAATTGGGGGTGATTTTGGAGCCATTTTTTAGAAAAAACCATGGGCTATAAGGGTATTTTTCCAAATTTTGGAGTTTTTAAAAATGGTCATAACTCGAAAAATTGAAGTCGGAATTGACTCAAACTTTCTACATAGCATATGTAAGTACATCAATATGTATCAGAAAATGTAATAAAAATTGGGGGTGATTTTGGAGCCATTTTTTAGAAAAAACCATGGGCTATAGTACAGGGTATTTTTCTGAAATTTGGAGTTTTTAAAAATGGTCATAGCTCGAAAAATTGAAGTCGGAATTGGCTCAAACTTTCTACATAGCATAAGTACATCAATATGTATCAGAAAATGTAATAAAAATTGGGGGTGATTTTTGAGCCATTTTTTGGAAAAACCATGGGCTATAGTACAGGATATTTTTCCAAATTTTGGAGTTTTAAAAAAATAGTCATAACTCAAAAAATTGAAGTCGGAATTGGCTCAAATTTTCTATGTAGCATAAAGCATTATAAAGTATCAAAAAATGTGATAAAAATTAGAAGTGACTTCAGAGCCATTTTTTGGAAAAACAGTACAAGGTATTTTTCCAGAAATTTGGCATTTTCTTAAAACAGCAATAGCACAAAAAATTAAAGTCAGAATTGGCTACATAGCATAAGGACATAGATTATCAGATACAAGGAAGATGACAAAGAATGTTTTGCAGCTAATTTTGATTTCTTTTTGTGTTGAGTAAACAGATTAGGTTATACTGATCATTTCACGAGTGGCCTGTGGGGACTCCCACAATACGCATTAGAAAATGTAATAAAAATTTAAACTTTTTTTGGAAAAAAGCATGTGCCACAGTACAGACATTTTTCAGAATTTTGGAGTTTTTAAAAGGCCTTACTATCTTCAATCAAATTTTTTTTAAAGGCTATGAAAGAATTTCACAATTTTTATAGACTTCCTGATACATGTACATATACTTGTTCTTTTGTTGTGTAGAACTTTTAGATGATTTCAATTTTCAATCAAAATTTGATTGTTTTACAAATATTTATAGATGCTCCAAAAGCCAGCTCGATCATGAAGTACCATAGGATACTTTTTTAGGGCTGTAAATTTCACAGATTTTGCAATTTTTTGAAGATTCGCAAAATTACTTCCACAAAAATACAGTACAAGATGGCAGATGGCATAAATTTGCAAAAATTTAATCTGAAAATAGATTTTAAGGCAAATTTGCGAAATTTACAGCCCTAAAAAAGGCGCTCTAAGGTATGCTACTTAGCAAACTTTGTGGGAAACCCTGTTCTATGGCTGGAATGTGGTTTTAAAATACATATTTCTTAATAATTATTGGTCCTCAGCAAAACTTTGGGTAATTAGAATTAAAATGAGAATGGAAAATAAGTACCTGGAATAGGTGTTGGAGTTATTGTTTGAGACACTATTGAAGATGGCTCACACACAACAATGACAGAAGTAGAAGAGGCTTGTGGTAAAGAAGGAACAATAGAAGAACCACCATCACTGATAGAAGAAGATACACTAATTACTCCAGTGGTAGCAGATGCAGTGGAGGAAGTTACAGTGGATGTAACAGATACAGTGGTAGAAGCAGTAATAAAATCACTAGAAACTGTTTGGGTAGGAACAATGATTGTACTAGAAACTGCTGTTCCAAAAGTATCAGATGTTATGGTAACAGAATCTGTGATTGAAGAAACAATGGTGCTAGTAGTCACAGTTGGAATTACAGAAGTAGATGCAGTCAAACCACTACTAGCAAATCTATCAGAACTACTAGTAACTGATGGAGTTTGTACAATGATTGTACCAGTTGCTGATGGAGACTTTATTACAGAATTATCGGATGTTATGGTAATAGAGTCTGTGATTGTAGACACAATGGTAGTGTCAACTTTTGTGGTCACAGTTGAAATTACAGAAGTACTTGGGGTAGATGCAGTCAAAACTTCACTAGAAAAACTACTAGAAACTGATTGAGTAGGAACAATGATTGAAACAGAGGTACTTGCTTGAGTTAAATCAATCGATGCTGAACTAGTCCGT